TGGCGCCAGTTGTCCAAAATCCTACAGTACCAAAGGAGGGGTTTGGAAAAAGGGTGCCTGGCCGAAAACGGAATGCAGCCGAAACAGCAAAAGATAGACCAGGGATCGAGCCCTGGCGAAGTCCGTAACATTGTATGTTTGGCCTGAGCCTAGCCATGATAATGGTTAGTTGCTTTGTAAGTAATGAGAGGATGATAAGTAAAAGGTAAGGTAAAAGAGAGAATATCGAAAGTAGAGAAGTGGAGCAGGGAGCCAAAGAAGGAGGTAGGCGAAGAAGAGGGAGTTCAGATGGTGGGAGAAGACGTTAGTTAGGAAAAGCGAGAAAGAATGGGAGAGAAGAAGCGGGGAGAGTAGGATAGGTTATAGGTGGCTTTTGTGACCAGCTTGGTCATAGTCCGGTTCGATTCTAGGATTTTTGTTACTAAGTGGACTGACTGATACAACCATCCTAGGCGATAGAAGAAGAAGGTAGGAATTGGAGTAAGGAAGATAAGGATGGCAAGTTGGTCGAGCTGGCTGCACTCTTGGCCTCTCCAAGAATGTCGTCGTTGTTAGGAGAGAACTTCGGAGAAGGGGTGCAAAGGAACGAGTGGCTGAAGGCTGGAAGAGCTATGTTGCTTTGTTTGTAAAGTGTTGGTGGTTGTTACGGCGGAAAGCAGTGGATCTTATGGTTACAACAGTTGTTTGAATGATGGTAGTCGAGGGTGCAATATCATTCTAGAGTTTTATTATTGCGGGAGTGATTGTTGCTACCTCACTAAAACTGCATACTGCAGTCCCGTAATACTTTGGGAAATGTTGTAAAGGTTTACTGAGAAGTTTATGTTAGATAAATGACCGCAAGGTTGAGCAGCAAAAGGTAGCATGCAAGGAGTGAGGAAAATTAAATAATGTGTTTGACCATAAGTTATAGCCGAGAATAGTTGTTGATCAGGCATAAGGTTGGTATCATGAACGGTTTGCCCACTCTGGGCGTTGAGGTGGAAGGTTTGTCGGCCAGAACTACCCAGGTTTGAACTACTTTCGACTTCATATGGTTGACCGGGTGTGAGGTGAGTTAGTCTGCATACGGCGGTGATTGTTATGACCGTCACCGTTCTTTGACTGCAACAGTCATTTTGTTAGCAATATTGCTTTTAACTTCGAGCGATGACACCCTTTTGTTGTCTTGGAGTGAAAGTATATGACGTACGAGGTTATAGTTGCAATTGATTGGGGTTATCCCACCATTGGGTTTGGGCATCCGGGTTTACATGTCACTTTATACCAGAGGCCCTCTTGTGAGGTTCTTGTGAGCATCCTTCTCGCATCTTGAGAGTCTCGAGTGAATATTCTACCTTCTTTACTCTCTGTTACTTTTTGTGAGGCTTCTAGAGAGGAGGACGGTCAGTAGGATCCCATCCTAGCTAGACCGTGAGTTGAGATCTTCGTAGGACCTCATTACCGAACACGATTGCGGGGCTATGTCGGGGTTCGGGCGGGACCCTGGAGGCTTGTGAGGCTTCTAGAGAGGAGCACGGATAGTAGTATCCCATCCTAGCTAGACCGTGAGTTGAGATCTCCATAGGACCTCAGAACCCAACGTGATTGAGGGGGCTCTGTTGGGGTTCAGGCAGGACCCTCGAGGCAGGGAATTGATAGGTAGGCCGACGCGATCACCTTAGTTTCCTTAACCTATTCTACATTCTTCTTTTGGGGATATCTAACTGGTTTGACTGTGCATTCTATATGTATATTTTCTCTGACTTTTTATTCGAGATTTAATTTTTGATTGAGTAAATTAACTATGTTTGTGAATCATCTACGTGACTTTGAGGAAGGAATTCGTTCCATTGCGTTTTGATATATTTTACACTTCGCARACCTGGCCCAAGGGTTGAGACARAAYAAGTCTGGACATTGCGGAGCTTTGTTTTGTACATCGCGTTGTTCTTATTATTTTGTGYTTCGCAAACMTGGGTTAGGGTCGGGACGGAACAAGTCTCGGTATCACGAAGCTTTGTCGTTTGTCATATGGTTTTCATTGGCTTGAGCGTCATAGACATGAACCAAGTGCCAGGATGAAACATGTCAAAGTATTGTAAGGTATTACTTGTCTAAATTGAAGATAAAAACTTTTTTATAGAAACRTTTTTAACCTTGACCAAGGGTCAGCACAGAACAAGTTTGAGTCCTGTAGTAGAATCATTTGTGCGTTAATATAAAGGAGAAGGGATTCACTTTGGTTTGCTGCATGTGGTGGCATGAGTTTCTTGGGTTTGGATTAGGGCTAGGACAAAATAAGTCTATGTGTTGTGTTTCAATAATCAATCGGTCGGACATGCGTAAGAAAATTATGCCATGACCGAATGTTTATTTAGACTCTGAAGGGTCAGGCATGCGTAAGACTGTAACTCACTGGTTGAATGTWTATTTTTGCGAAGGTTAATAAAAAACGAGATCGGATACACGATATTCGAAGGATTTTCACACACAAAGCAGAGACAAACTTTTCGACAAGTGAACATTACAATACCGTCCTTTGTTTGTGTTGCTTRCGATGCCATCTTGTTCATCTCTCATTCATGTATATTGATTTGACAGTGAGTYTGTT